TACAAAAGCTCGCGCGCACGGTAATTATCTTAAACGGACGCTCATTCCGTTATTAATGGGCAAAAAAAGTTGAACAAGGTATCAAAATGCTTGAAAAAATGTGCCAAATATGATGACAGAAAAAAATTGGCGATTCTACGTTGCAAAATGCAAGTACGCGCGAAAACGCGCGCGCATGTCCGTGCGCGCGTTTTTTTGCAAAATGCTTCAAATGGCCTGAAACGTATGCAAAATTAATTTTAAACGATTTAGAGCATTTTTATTTTTTGCGCGCGCGCTGACGCGCGGACGTACGCATGCGCGCGCGTTTTTTGACCTGAAATTGACCGGACGGATATTGACCTTAATCATGATAAATATGAATGAGAAATGCCTTTCCGTTATAAAGATATGATCATGAGTTGAAAGTACAAAAAAAAACACAAAATGGCGCCTGGATGACGTCATGAAGACTTGATGATATTGAAAAGGTTACTGTCACGTCTCATGACAATGACCTATGACTGTGCCAAAATTGAACGAAATTGATCAAACTGATCTTGAGTTATCCTTTACACAAAAAAGTGGGGAGAAATAAATAAAAATAAAGAATAACTAGAAATTTAATTCGTCATGGGGACGAATTAGGTGGTCTGTCTTCAAGTCTTATGATAGATTATAATATTTACTATATTGAGAAAGGGAGAAGTTATATAGACATGTAAACAATGATGATCATCATGATGATCATCATGATGATGATCTTGATAGTAATGTTGATGACGATGATGATGATCATGATGATCATGATGATGTTGATGATTATCACCAACAGACTACGATGACAGACTGAAAAAAATGAGAGAACATTTAGATAGTATATAGTCTTAGCTACAACATACTCAAAAATCAACAAAAATCAAGCCAAAATAACGGCGATATTGCTCGCAAAAGACAAGAATGTAGAATCCAGATTTGAGAAAAAGTCATCTCCCATAAGGAATACACGCAAAAAGTAATGGATCTAGTGATAATAGGGTAATAATAAAGTAAATATGGTTGTTTATTACATTATTTGCGATTGTACGTGTTTTAATATTCAAAGGAGATGGTATAGTGAAAGGTCAAACAGAAAAAAAAGTGAAGAAAAAAAATTGTTGGAGACGCCCGGATTCGAACCAGGGACCTCGAGGTCGGAAGTCAAGTGCGTTACCGATATACCAAAACATTTCCCATAGAGATTACACGTAAACGGAAAATGGAATTATCAAATCCCACTTTGTAAGTGCAATATGAGCATGATCCCGGCATCTGATCGAAGAATAAAGGGCACAGTTGAGATAGCTTATTGTCTCAGCTACAACATACTCAAAGCTCAGCGTAAACAAAGATAAAACGACGGAGATATTGCTCGCGAAAGACGAGAATGTAGAATCCAGTTTGAGAAAAAGTCATCTCCCATAAGGAATACACGCAAAAAGTAATGGATCTAGTGATAATAGGGTAATAATAAAGTAAATATGGTTGTTTATTACATTATTTGCGATTGTACGTGTTTTAATATTCAAAGGAGATGGTATAGTGAAAGGTCAAAAAGAAAAAAAAGTGAAGAAAAAAAATTGTTGGAGACGCCCGGATTCGAACCAGGGACCTCGAGGTCGGAAGTCAAGTGCGTTACCGATATACCAAAACATTTCCCATAGAGATTACACGTAAACGGAAAATGGAATTATCAAATCCCACTTTGTAAGTGCAATATGAGCATGATCCCGGCATCTGATCGAAGAATAAAGGGCACAGTTGAGATAGCTTATTGTCTCAGCTACAACATACTCAAAGCTCAGCGTAAACAAAGATAAAACGACGGAGATATTGCTCGCGAAAGACGAGAATGTAGAATCCAGTTTGAGAAAAAGTCATGTCCCATAGAGAATACACGCAAAATGTGAAAAATTGACATTTAATCGCAAAAATACGCCATGATATTAATGTCAAAATGAATTATTGTGATGACTGCATTTGTAGAGAATATTCTAAGGTAGAACATATCAAAATTTGAAAGAAAATTGATCAATATTTACAGAGATACAATCAATTTTCCAAAAATCTGCTGACGTCATAATATGCAAATTGATATTTTGAGTTCGGAGGCCATTATGATGACGTCATGAGTTAATTGAGGGTCAAATGAGACATGAAATCATATCTCCAACTCATGCTTTTTCCAACCATGATATAAAAGTTGGGGTCAATTGACTATCTGAAGAGCTATTTTGATTTTTAAAATGGGATGTTTTTGATCAAATTTGCATTATATTGCCCATAGCAGCACGCGCAGATTTTTAACTTTGACGCGCGCTCACGGCCTTATGAAAGGTCAAGAGTGACTGAAATTAATGTAAATTGTCATTTACGGTAAGAGGAATCTAAATCATGTAAACAATTTGAATTTGACCTTTTCCGCGCGTTATGAGCGCGCGCAACGCGCGCGGTGACACTTACGGACGGAAAATTTTGAAATGCTTAAAATGACCTGATTCGTACTCTCCTGTAATAGTTAAGTGATTTTGAGCATTTTTAAATTTTGACGCGCGCGTACGTGCGCGTCATGACCTTTATGTGACCTTTGATGACATGACTTGTTGACCCTTGACCTGAAGTATATGTGATATGAATATGAATGACCTTTGCTTATGCATCATGAAGATATGATGGATAACGTGATTTCACAAAATGGCGCCTGGATGACGTCACGATGACCTGATGACCTTGAAAAGGTTACTGTCACGTCTCATGACAATGACCTATGACTGTGTCAAAATTAAAAGAAATTAACACAACCGATCTTGAGTTAGCCGATGAACAAAAAACGGGGAGAAATAAAAACTAGAATTTAAATCGTCACGAGGACGATTAAGGTGGTCTGTCTTCAAGTCTTATGATAGATTATAATACTTACTATATTGAGAAAGGGAGAAGTTATATAGACATGTAAACAATGATGATCATCATGATGATCATGATGATGATGATCTTGATAGTAATGTAGATGACGATGTTGATGATGATGATGATGATCATGATGATGTTGATGATGATCATCAACAGACCATGATGACATCTGATTGAAAAAAATGAGGGAACATTTAGATAGCATATAGTCTCAGCTACAACATACTCCAAAATCAACAAAAACCAAACGGAAATAACGGCGATATTGCTCGCAAAAGACAGGAATGTAGAATCCAGATTTGAGAAAAAGTCATCTCCCATAGGGACTACACTCAAAAAGTAATGGATCAAGTGATAATAGGGGAATAATAAAGTAAACATGGTTGTTTATAACATTATTTGTGATTCTACGTGTTTTAATAAGCAAAGGAAAAGGTACAGTGAAAGGTCAAAAAGAAAAAAAAAGTGAAGAAAAAAATTGTTGGAGACGCCCGGACTCGAACCAGGGACCTCGAGGTCGGAAGTCAAGTGCGTTACCGATGTACCAAAATATTTCCCATAGAGATTACACGTAAACGGAAAATGGAATTATCAAATCCCACTTTGTAAGTGAAATATGAGCATGATCCCGGCATCTGATCGAAAATTAAAGGGCACACTTACGATAGCATATTGACTCAGCTACAACATACTCAAAGCTCAGCGTAAACGAAGATAAAACGACGGAGATATTGCTCGCGAAAGACAAGAATGTAGAAACCAGTTTTGAGAAAAAGTCATGTCCCATAGAGAATACACGCAAAATGTGAAAAATTGACATGCCTCCTTTAATCGCAAAAATACGCCATGATGCCATTGTTCAAATGAAATATCGTGGAGAATACATTCGTAGAGAATATTCTCAGCTAAAACATATCAAAATTTGAAAGAAAATTGATCAATATTTACAGAGATACAATCAATTTTCCAAAAATCTGCTAACGTCATAATATGCAAATTGAAATTTTAAGTTCGGAGGCCATTATGATGACGTCATGAGTTAATTGAGGGTCAAATGAGACATGAAATCATATCTCCGACTCATGATCTATCTAAATATGAAAAAAATTGGGGGTATCTATCCATTCTGAAGAGTTAAAATGAATTTTGTATAGGCTTGTTTTTGCACATGTAATGTGGATAGGGATAATGCAGATCCGCGTGTGCTGTAAACTTTGACGGACGCTCATTGCGTTATCACTGGTCAGAAAAAGGTGAACAAGGTATCAAAATGCTTGGAAAAATGTGGTTGATATGATAGAGAAAATTTGGCGTTTCCATGTTGTAAAATGTCAGTACGCGCACTTACGCGCGGAAACGCGCGCAAAAAAGTGCTCTCGCGCAAAATCTTGAAAATGCTTACAATGGCCTGAAACGTGTGCAAAAAAAATTTGGGACGAATTTGAGCATTTTAAAATTTTAATGCGCGCGTACGTGCGCGTCGAGGTGCGCGCGCAAATTTTGTTGACATTTTTAGTTGAACTTTGACCTGAAGTTGATGTATACCAAATATGGTTTATTTTTGAAGACTCGTTATCGAGATATGATAATGACTTGATTTTTACAAAATGGCGCCTGGATGACGTCACGATGACCCCATGAACTTGAAAAAGGTTTCGGGAACTTCATATCATAGGGCCTGATGACTAACAGAAATTTGAAGGAAATTGACCAGGTCGAGTTCGAGTAAACGTATACACAAAAAAAGTGTACGGAATAAATAAAAATAAATAAAGAATAAAGAAAGAAAATTCTAACGAAATCAATAGGTGATCTGTCATCGACAGACCACCTAATAATAACTAGACATGTAATACTTGTTTGGAACAAGTATAGGTGGGCTGGTCAACTAAAATTTGAGAGAAAATAGAGCAAAAAATAAGCGAGATACTGCTAGAAAAAAACAATGTCAAGAAGATTCATGATATTTGTCATACCTATCAACGTGTGTGTGTGTATGTATGGAAAAGAATGGTGGTGTAAAACAATAAAAGTACATTCGGCGTGCCATACTCCCTTAACCTTTGACATTAGTGCAGCTTGGTTTGAGTTCGTTGAGCTTGCTTGCTGCATATATATCGCATGGATTGCACATTATATCGCGATGTGCACACAAAGTATAGTGCAGGCCTTCGATGCAATACAGTAAAAAGCCTTCGTATAAGTTCTCGATCGAATGCTGACAAGATTTTCGAGTTGGAGCCTTTCTTCGTCCTTTTCTGGATTGTTCTTGTGTTCTCGATTTATGCCCGTTATCTCGCCGACAGTTTAGTGGAAACTGATACTGATAGTGATATTTGGTAAGTTCTAATTTTGTAACAATTATCGTATGAAAATGCACCACTGCACTGTCCGATTCCGAAGGTGTTCGCTATGTCATGATGTTGTTGTTGAGGTGTACGTTTTGTGACTACGCAGTACCGGTACGGTACCGTACGTACGATTGTGTACTTTTACTGGGTAGATCTAACTTAGATCTAATGAAAGTGTGAAATGAATTCTAAAAAATGAAACCTTCTAACAATATGCCTACAAATATGGTCCATGCATTCTTAGAGAATGTCATTACTTGTTTATTTGCTGTTAAATGTGATAAAATTTGAATAGATTTTAGTTGCTAACTTTGTCTAGACCCGCGCATGGAGACTGGCATGTATAAAGTCTACATGTTGCATGGAGTATGACTAGTCTAGTACGAGTATGAGTATGACTGAGTTCTATAAAACGTAGACTAGACTATATCAATGAAGGTCTAAGGCAGGTGTTGTCGGGCTAACTTGGCTCAAAGACATCTCGTCTCAGCTGCAAAAACGGTCAATTTTGCAGGTTTTGGGTTTTAGAGTTAGCGTTTGGTTAATAGGGTTTTATATGGTTTAATGTCAGAAATTAACCGTTTTTGCAGCTACCGTAGGCAGCTTTAGGCCGAGTTTGCTCGGATTCTAGGTTGTATGTGTGGTGACTAGAAGTTTACATCTAGAAAATCAATAATTATTAAAAAAATTATTTATCAACAGTAATTTATTATACATCTTAGATCTATCTTATTCCAAATCATTTGGTACCATTTTTGAGTGGTAGATCTAGATCTATGTGTTCACAGTCACACTTGGATGAACAGGAGGCATTGTTTGCAAGAGTGCAAAAATCGACTTGCGCCAAAGTTGCTTTAATAAAATGATGTGATGTTTTAATAAAACAATTGGGATTTGGGTATTAAAATCAGTCTTTGCAGATCCAAATAACATCCCTAACAAAATTAATCATGCCACACATGTATTACATATCAAATATCAACAAACATTTGTGTGTGGGTGTGTCTGTCTTTTTTTTACTCACAGGGTATAGGCTACGGTATGTGTACTTTCACAAAACCGGGTTCTGAAACTGAAAGTGTGAAATGTATGGTAAACAATGAAATATTTTAGAAATATGCTTTAAATGGTGCATTTTTACAGAATGTAATTATTTGTGTATTTGCTGTGATTGCAAGGTAAAATGGGAAACTTAGACGTCTAAACAGTTTATAACTCTGAAGTCTGAACATTTGCAGAATACCCTACCACGGTTTTACGGGGGCACAGATTTAGAACCCACAATTTGACAAATATTAGAAGAAAAAAAATCAGAAACGACCAATGACCACTACCTGTCTAGTTTAAGCCAAATCTATATTTGTGGGTATTTTAAGCGAAGACATTCCACTATTATAAGCACAACACTATTATTTTTATTGTGTATTTTAAGAATGAGACATCACTTGTTGATTAAAATATCTAATAGGGTCTTTGACAACAGACTAAGCAGTGAACGAGCTTCTATAGTATAGCGGGCACAAAGTACATACAAATATGTGTGTGACTATACACGGGCTTGTCTTTTTGCGTTACTGAAATAGTGCTCAGAATTCAAGTAATTAATCTACTAAATGGCCATAACAGACCAGAAACAAGTCAGAGGTACATGTAAGTACAAGAATCAGTGCTTATCAATATAACAGGATTATCTGACGAACACACCACATTCAGTGCTGCAATGACGCACAAAACGGCGTATACATGTAATTCAACTTTTCATCCACCAAATGAATACAAACACTTGCATTATACAATCTTTAATACCTGTATCACCGTTATCGCAAGCAATAAAATCACAATCTATATCTACGGCTAATATATGAAGACTAACAATATGGTAGGGTATACTCCAATTAGGCCTATAACAGACCTGCCAACCAGTACGATTTAGTCGTATTTAGTACGATTTTAGAAGCAAATGCGACAGTTCGATTTTTCTCAATAAAATACGATTTTTTTTTAATTTATTTTTTTTTTTTTTTTAAATATTTTTTTTTAATATCTTTTTTTGTTTGTGTGTGTACCATTTTCAATGGCAAAATTCCCATTCTGTACTATAAAGTATCCTACAAGCATCTCACATGGGATGTTCATTGGTTCATCGAACACATCAATCATCATGATTATCATGCATATTCAACCAACGATCCTTTAAACAAATTCTTCCTGTATGTAGGAACTGTAAGAAGCATTGATCCGCGTAACAGTCCGCGTTTATTTTTAAGAATACAACTTTTGTCAGTAAAATACAAGTTTTTGAACTCCAGAGGTTGGCAGGTCTGCTATAACCTTGATGCGTTATAAGAGATACCGGTACATTGTATGTATTGTTGTTGTTGTTGTTGGTATTAGTTTAATGGCGTTCATTCAGTATACACCAGTTTACAGTTATGGGCCCCATTTTAATATACAGGTAAACAAAACATTGACCTCTAGTGGTCAGTGGTTATCACGTAAATTTAGATAGCGCCCATGCACATATGATGTGAGCACACAGCGCAGGCAGTGTCATCAATGTTTTCAAATGCGCGTGTATTGTTGCGTCACTGCCTGCGCTGTGTGCTCACAACATATTTGCATGGGCTTTGCTTAATTTACCCGAAAATTGACCTCTAGAGGTCAGTGGTTTGTTTTCCCGTATGTTTACCAGTTTATTAAAATTGCGCCCATGTCAGCGCATGGCACTGTTGTAACTGTAGGCTGGTGTATTGAATAAATATGCCATAGTTTTAGTTTTATAAGAAAATCAGTTATCCATAACTGAATAAAAATTTGTAATGATATAATTAATTAATCAGTAACTTAATTTATTAAGAGCCTCTAGATGGTTTACAACTTTGTATTTCTGTTTTTTGTTAACGTTTAATCTGGTCAGCCTGGTTTTGATTGCATGGAAATCTAGCTTTGCGCGATTTGAAACAGGCTTCTTGGCATGCGTGCGGAGTGGTCTGTATTCAAATATGAATTGAATGGCACATGCTCTCAGGGCTGTCAACTTTGGAAAACTGCTTGGAGGGAGATTTTTTTTTGGAGAAAATATTAGTGCCAAATCCAGCAAAATTTGGGGTGGCAGGAGTCTCCCGCTACGTGCTTTTGGGGCGGCGTGAGACTCCCTCCAAATGCGGGAGGGTTGACACCCCTGTCAGCTCTTTTATAGATGTCAGGTAACTTTTATGCCCTCCAGGCTCTATGCGTTTTGATTTGTAGTGATGAAAGGCATCGATTACTGCATACGTTTACACATGGAAAAAAATAATGTTGAATCATACTTGCTATTCTTGATAAATAGTTGACTGTCACAGAAAATGTACCATGCCTCCATTTTGAGCGGCCATTTTGAAGGAAAAAAAAGGGCCCCTGATCACATGCAGAGTGTGCAGCATTTTTTATGTAGGCAAAACCAAGACCGCTCTCATGAGACACTTTTATGGACACAGATTTACCGTCAGCACATGCATGCTTGACACTCCAGTTGGCCATCATTTTAATTTCCCCAACCGATTTTTGACATAATTCTATAGGTTCTAGGATCTCTAGGTGACTGTATTGATTTACTAGTTGCAGCAGGGTGAAATATTGAATGAGACGTTGTTCCCCCATTCACTCCTGTGGGCTCACCATTCAAGAAGCCAGTGATAAGTTCATCCTCATCATTCTCTGGTTCTTGCTTCTTTTTTTTGTAGACCAACTGTATGTTTTAAACAAGTTTATTTTTAAGCTTAGCACAGCTTTGATGTAATTTGTTTGTGTGTGGGAAAGCTGTCATTAAAGGTGATTTGGATTTAATACATATTCTTGTTTCTCCTGTTTGTTTTCAGATCTTCCCCTGCTCTGACAACGTGCGGTCAAGTTTGTAAGGCCAGCTATCTGGCTGATGCCTTAGTTCCATGCAGTATACAAACAGCAAGGAATTGGCTGCACCGTCACTCATTCTTCAAGTAAGTTGGGAGGGGGAAGGTTTTTTTTATGCCTCTAAAGTTGCCAGGGGGGTGTTTCATAAAGCTTTCGTAAAGTTACACATGACTTTACGAACGACTTGTATATGAAATTATGAAGTGCCAGATATGATGCCCAAAGTTTTTTCTGATATTTTCAATCAACTCAATTAAATTATGGTTGTTATCATAAAAATGTTAATCTACATCTGCACAGTTTAACTTTAGTTGATGTATTTAATAGTGATTGAGCATCCCATTTGGCTTTTCATATACAAGTTGTTCGTAAAGTCATGCGTAACTTTATGAACAGCATTATGAAACACCCCCAAGGGGCGATATGTTCTCAGTATGTTCAAGATCTCAGTTGTTTGTATGCCCTGGCCCTTCCACTCAGTGTTATTTAGGTTATGCATATGCATGTTCCGAGCAATCCTAACTTTTGAGCAAAAGTCAATACGGGCAGACCTTTTTCTTTTGGTATACAAGCCTTTTTTAGCACCCCCCCCCCTTTTTTTTAGCAAAAGTTTCTTGTGAAAAGTCAGTACTGGTAGATCTTTTTCTTTTGATAGGAGCCGGAGATTTTACAAGCACTCATGGTATCCCTCCATTCATGGAGTGGGGGGGGGGGGGGGGGATGTATGCATGATTAGCTCAAAATTGTGATATCAGATGTTTTTGGAAGATTACTATCAAAATGGAGTTGACAAATTTGTTTAGTGCATGTTAATTGGGGCTTTTTTATATATATATTGTGCAATGGCGGAGCCGTGGAGGCATACACAGTCAGAGATCCATCTAGTTTAGTTTTTTACAATTGCATAATTTGTTTCTTTTCTAATTTACAATTTTGACAGCTACACAAACCATTAAGGAAGTTTGCTCTCTCAGGTCTGAGGTCCTGAAACAGGAGTCTCCATCCAGACTACCAATGATAGATTACCTTTTGTGACCGCCTTTTATCGCATCCATCCTCGCCTATTGTGACCGCCTTTCATCGCATATAACCTCGCCTCTGTTCCATCCTACATGGTACCGTAATCACCACATTCTCCACACTTTCGACCGTCTCCATTATTCACGTAAGCATCCCTTTGTTTACCCCCCCCCCCTTCTCAATTTGGCCTTCCTTACTTCGTTCTTATGCCTTCCTCTCTTTCCCCATCCAAATGCCTTCCTATTCAAGGTCTTCATCACTGCTTTCATCAGGCCTCCCATATTCTTATTTACATTTTTTTTTACCCTCTCCCTTGTCCCATGATATATAACCTATATATATATTTATATATTTTCTTTGTGTGTTTCCTCTCCATTCCCAGCCAAGTTTGATTGGCCGTTCACAGCCTCTTTATTGCTCTATGTTTACACCCCCTTCCTTAGCTGTATGTTTAGTATATAGTATTATGTTTTTCATGTTCCCTCGTCAGTTAGCCTCTGATGAAATTTCCGCTAGGATAAAAAAATTAGGTCCTACATTAACTCTCATTAAATTAGAATGATCAGATAAAACTTTGACATGATTTTGTACCTCCTTCATGAAAACACAATCCCATAGATATACTTCATGTGTGTGTACTTAAGATATAGAAAAGAAGATATCATTTTGAAGGTTGGATAGGTTTTGTTGCATCTTCAATTGTATGTGATAAGGGGAGCTCAACACCAAAGCTATTTTGTAAAACATATATCAATTTTAAGATTGTGTATAGCCTTCTAATATGTCTTCTATAGAGTTTGATAGCAAGTTTTGAGAAAATTACAATTTATATACATGTAGTCAACAATAACTTTCCACAATTTTGTGTTGGGATCAGTCAATTCATACCAGTTGTACATACCTTGAAAACTTGTGTCCGAAACAAAAATTGTTCATTTCATAAAATATTCAAACTCATGTAAATAATAATATGAATGTTAATGATTTAAATTTTATTATATATTTATATTTTGTATTACAGATACTGTACATATCAACAGTTGATTGACGGTTGGAAGTTCCCATCACACTTGTCATCAAACCAGACAGCTTTCAACCAGAATCTTCCAGGTGTAAAAAAAAAAAGTAAAGTAATACATTACTAATATGAAATGCATATATTTTGGATTGTAAATCATTTCTTTATTTAAAAAAATAAAATAAAAATACATACAGTTCTGCACATGTACAAAATCTCACACCCAAAATAATGTTTATAATTATATGGAAATTACATGTACACTGTAGGTTAAATGTCACCCTTTATATTTTGCGATTAATCATAGGTTTTGTTGTCAGATTAGAAGATGATGTAAATCATAGCAGAGGGAAAAAAAGATTACCTTTTTTTTAGGTTGGAGAGATTTTGTTGCATCCTCAATTCTATGGGTGACAAGGAGGGCTCAACACCAAAGCTATCTTGTAATACACATATCGTTTTCAAGATTGCGTAAAGCCTTTCAATATGTTTTCTATAGAGTTTGATAGCAAGTTTTGAGAAAATTGTAATTAATACACAAGTAGTCCTTGGTCATTATACAAATGATGCACAGGTTTGAGTGTGTCGGTAGGGATTGTGTGCACAAGGTACCTTTGAATGGTTTTACACCAAATTCAAAGGTAGCGCGTGCACACAATTGCACTGACCCACATATTAAACCTGTGCATCATCTGTTTTATAAGATGGGGCCCCCGAAATTGTCAAAAATGCAAAATTTTGTTATTTTACAGATTTATTGGATGCATGGCAAAATCATGCGTCTGGTAATTATAACGCATGATTTTTAAATTTGCATAATTTGTTTGTTGTTACTTAGTGCAATGGATTTAAACAAATGGAGAATGTCTTCAGCCTAAACCTTAACAAAATAAAGTCAGGCCTAACTGACCTTTACATGAAACAAAAGAAAGTCATTAAATCAATAAAAACTTATTTTGCAAGCTTTTTTGAGTGTTGGGGAGGTGCAATCTAAATTAGAAGAGGACTGGATCTTGTCCATATCAAGTACAGAAATTGAGGCTTTATGTGTGGTGCTTCCTGGCCCCTCTCGCTTCAGTTTCACCAACACAGCCTCGAGAAATTGAAATTTGTTACAGATATCTAGGGTACAGTGTTCCAAAAAGTGACGTATGCCACAGCGAAGGTACTAAAGTCTAGGTTTACAACTCACCGTCGGTCTATGTACAGAAGCATAGAACTTAGTTTAGAACTATAACAGTTTGTCCAATTCTGGCGTAAAAATGTCTCCTAAATTGACGTTCTTGATTTGTGCAAACTTTTCCAACTTTGAGAATCCATACTTTAATTGAAATTTTCATGCTAGTCACATCTGAATCATCCAACAATTTAGATAATTCTTGTTCTTATAGAAGCTAGAAAATCAAATCGCAGCCGCGATTTCGCCATTTTGTTCGGGATATCAGTGTTTTCGATTTCAATATTGCATATATCGTGTTGATATTGCGTGCATCCAGTAAAAATAATTACACAGTAATTGAGCAATCAGATTGCAGGGATTTTCTAACCATCTTATAGTACATTATGTGAATGAATCATAATTGAATGGCCTTTTTTATATTCAATATCAAAAAAAATATTAACATAAATTGATATATATCCAAACAATACTGATGGTTTAAAAAGCATTCCATCTCCTTGTTTATGTCTCATGCATATCTCTTTCTTTTCTTTTCTTTTCTCTGTCTGCAGGACCTGGATTTTCAGTACGGTATATGTTTTGCGTTCTTTGTATAAAAGACTTCTATACACTCCTTCCATTTTCAGACGTCTTGTTGGACTGAAATATTTTTCACTTCCACTCATTTCACCTCCCCTCTAAGAAGACATTTCCCATAAGCAAAAAAATCATTACATGTTCATTTTTCATAAGAATTTATCACAGCTGTGAGCTCATTTCATCCATTTCACCTCATCTTTTCATGAACGATTCATCCCAATAACGCTTGAAATAAGATTTGAAAGGAATTGGAAAAGACTTGAAACGAATTGGAAAAGACTTGGAACGAATTGGAAGAGACTTGAACGAATTGGAAAAGACTTGGAACGAATATTAAATAACTGATTACAATTCCTTAAAAAGTGTAAACGTGTGAATTTCTTTAATTCTTGGTGTAAAAGTGAATGATATTTTGGTATACGAGTTGTTAAGCTTAATGTAAATAAATTAATGATAAAGAGTGAATTTTTTTATATTAAAAAAACAACTTTGGGCTGTGGTGAGTTGCTTTGAATTATAAAGTGGTGAAATTTTCAAAGATTGGTGACAAGGTTGTGTGTGTGTATATATATATATAGAACGTTAAAGACAATACAAATATTGCACAAAGAAAACGGGAGATTGCATAAGAGACTATAGGAAAAGCGAAACTGACTGTCAAGGAGCAGATAATTGAGCATAGTGTTATATTCGAGATTGTAAGAGAGACTAAATAAAGGAGTGAGTCTGATTCATTGAATAACGGCAAGATAGTCTTTGTGTAACTTACAGGAACGCAAATAATTTAGCAGAGTTGTTTGATAGAAGAGGCACAGTGTGATTGATTGTTAAGGAAAGAAATTTCAAGAACGTAAAACCAAGAGTGACGTAAAATTTGTTTATAATCGAGTAAAACGAAGGTTTTTGTGAGAACGTGAAGATCAAAATAAGCAAAGTGTGCTAAGTACATGTAAAAAAGAGTGACGGTGAGATAAACCTGATTAATAAAGTCAGAGTATATGCACGTATGTGTGTAAGCCTATGTTATAATCATTAAAACAAAAAGAAAACGCATTATATATTGAAGAACTATATATCATATAGATATAAGCCAAGAGATTGCATTTTTTCCGTCTAAATTATATACGTGAAGTTCTGAGCGAAATCGTATCAATTTGTACGGCTAACCATGTTGGAAACGGACACATCACTTGGATCGGATAGTAACACGTACATCATGAAAGGCAATGGGGATTGTTGCGTCTGTGGCCTAGATATTCAAGAGAATGAGAACAAAACAACCTGTGAAACATGCTTGAACCATTACCATGTGCCATGTATGGGATTACCTTCTGCAGAAGAGTTGACTAATGCTCAAGTAGTATGGATATGTTGCTATTGTGGTAACAACAATTTTTCTAAGCGCTTATATGACCAATTTGGTATCCCTATTGACGTAAACATGTACGAACATCTAACAAAAGACAATAATGATAATGACCACGCAGCACAGCCAAGTCCTATAACTCGTGCACAAGACAAGAGAAACAAATCTTTATCAAGCGGGAAAAAGCATTTTCTTCGGGGCAAGAAAAGACTACTTTCGCCAAACCAATCAACCACAAAGAAAAGGAAATCTGATGAATGTCAGAATAGTAACAGAATCAAAGATAATGATTGCCAATCGTGTACAAGTGACATTAAAACGACATTCACAAGAAATACATTTAGGAAGAGAACCAATTATGATCGAACTGATGTAACTGCTGATGATAGTGCCGAAGTTTGGAGAACGGTAAAGACAAGGAGAACTAAGCCGCTTAATGAAAGAGGTGTGTCCCGTAAAGCAACGAATGCGAATAATGACCCATATTCTAGCATGGACAAAGGCAAAGGTCGAGAGAAAGGTGTCACGTACATTGGGAAAGCAATGGCATACTTGTACACAAGATCAACAAGAAGAAAACAAAAATCACATTTGAAGCAATCTCAAAATGGAAGTAATAAAGACCTTGCCAACGACTCAACAGAAAAGAACATCACCACCAATGAGAACGACTTTGCCAACGACAAAACAGGAAAACACTCCACCAAAGAAAACGAAGATACCAATAGTAATAGAGTTTTTGTAAAAAGTTTGAGCACTCCTGTAAAAGAGAATGAACAAGAAAGTCAATTATCTTCCGACCATAGTTATCAAATTGGTGTGATGGCTACACTTTTTTCTAAGAACAACGACATGAGCAAATGGACCTCTTCAAATCTTGATACTATCGTGACATGTGCTAAAGACGCTGATATACCGGGTGATCCACGTGAATCGGCCAACAATCCTAGTGGAAAGATAATTCATGCCTTTGACAAATGTTTTGAGTTAGAAATTTGTGAATCCCACACCGGTCCTCTTATACAAGAACACACTGAAACGAATGTACCCTCTGGTAAAGTTCCGTTGATCAATGCCCTACAAGATGCACTAGATACACAACGAAAGTCAGATGGATGCCTAGTCGAATTCAACGAACATACCTTTGTTATAATGCCTCATACCACTGGATATTATATCTTTGACACACATGCACAAAAAGAAATAGGTGGACGACACATGTTGATGCACACGAACACATGGACAGGTGCTTACGCATTTTGTTTACAATTGGCACATATAACGAATCTCCCAAATAGTGTACCATACAGACTCATCCAAGTGAAAGTACATGATCAACAGAACAATATATCGCAATGTCCGAAAGACACAAACAAAGATGACGACAGTGAAACTGTACAAAAGAACGCACTTGCATCTACAAGTAATCTAATTGAAGAAGAAGGCAAGGCCAACATCGAACCACAATGTCCCAATCAATTATTCACAGTGACACCAAATACAAATGAAAACCCCCCAATCAGTGATTCTCCAAACAAGGTGGACAAAGCCTATAAGCAAAAGTGTCATGAAAGTCGTACAACAAATGACCCATCCCAGTTTCAGAAAAAAATACGCACAGAATACCACTTCAATCCTATATCCTATGAGAATGCCAGTCCTACGGATGAAACCCAGTCAAACGAACATAACAAAACGGGTACGAAGGTAAATTTACAAAAAACGATTATTGCTCAGGGAACGTTCAATCAGGGCCATCCAAGATTTGGCAATTCAAGCGGAAGACAATGTGTTTGTAATTCTCTAATTGCAGTGTTAAACAGCAAGTCTAAGAAAGCCAACCAATGGAAGAGTTGTGATCTAGATCGAATTTTGACAATAGGTGATAATTTGTATACCAATATAAGGAAAAGCACTTCAGTCACAACGGATTACTTAGCCATGAATCAATTACCTACGGAATTGGATGGATACGATGACTGGAATGACTATTTTACGATTGTATACCACGAAACAATTCTAGGACAGTTATCTGAAGTTGAATCGCATAATAAAGAACTTGGTTTTGTGACATTAGAACAGGCATTCGAACAACAACTGTGTAAGACTTGTGATGCCCATTTTGTGACTTTCGCCAACAACACATTTGTAGTTATAACAGGACATGAGGGGTATTTTATATTTGATTCGCATTCTAGAAGCAATCGAGGCTTTTTAAGTGCAAATGGGCACAGCATCTTACTTCACACACCAAGCTGGCAAGGGGTTTACAAACATTGTATGACATTAGCAAAGACATTGAGTTGTCATATGAACCATTATTTTGAAGTAACTGGTGTATCAGTACAAGCAATATCCGGTAAGAATGAGACATTAACCGGTTTTCTAATATTACAAGGCATCCCTACTTGTCAGAATATGTCCTCAACTACGCAATATAGTACAACGTCGCAATGCCCAACACATTCTGATGAAAAGAAACGGCAATATGAAGCATCAATTCCAAATCCAAAAAAGGAACACATTATTGAGCTTACTCAAGAGTCGACTGATGATTTGCACGCTGAAACGAGTAAACCTGAACTTCCCGATGTACATGACTACAATGGCCAACTATTGTCATTAAAGAATGTAAGGGTTGAATTGACAAAATTACAAGAAACGGAATTTGGAGACCATTGTTTTGCCAATAGAACGGAAGCGACTGTGGCAATAGACAGCTCTGTAGATAAAAACTTAAAACACTCTAAAATGGAAGATGGAAAAACAAAAAGAAGGATCACCAGTTTGGAAAAAGATGCAAAAGCCAAATCATTTGAAAGCGTTTCCAAGAAATCGAATGGAAAACGAAAATGGAATAAACTTGAAAATGGAGCTCAATTTAGTTCTGACCGCAAAAAACTCAGACGAACGTCACAAAGGAACAGTTCTAGAAATCATAATTACCAAGCAGAATCCAATCGGGATATGACTGATTCAAAATTGAATGAACCAAAGGTCACCACAAGATGCAGTGCTAGAAAAGAAAAGGATGTAATACAAATTAATACAGGGAAATTTGATGAAGACTGTGATGATTTGATAGTATTAGAAGAAATACAGCAAACGGTCTTGTACTTTGCACCACTGAATGAAATTAAAAAGAACAAATCGTGCACAAAGTTAAACATTCACGATATTACACCAACTTCTAACAATGGAGCTCAAACATGCACACCTATAGAACATCCAAATACAATCAAAAATATTATGGGTGACGGAAATTGCTTCTTTCGTGCTATTTCATTTTGCTTATCGGGAAACGAAAATAATCACTTACTTGTGAGAAAAGCTATTGTTGTCCATCTTTTAAAAAACAAGAACAAATTTGAGAATCGTTTGAGAGATGGTTTTGCCAACGTTTCAAATTACGTGACAAAGAGCAAAGTATTTCAAAATGGTACCTGGGCTACCGAAATGGAGATTATGGTTTTGGCAAATTTGATTGGAACTGATATATACATATATGATGAGCAAAACTTTAAATGGAGTATATTTTCGGGCAAGGATGTACAACTTGGAAAGGTTACCTCTGACGAAGGAATTTATTTGAGAAATACGCAAGGAATACATTACGATGTTATTTTGTCGGTACAATCATCTCAGTCTAATATTCCTCACAAAATGTACAAGAATAAGCACCAAGAAAAGATTAACATGAATCCTGAAGGTACAAACAAGAAACGAAAGGCAAAAAAGAGCTATGGTCAAAGGAAAAAGCAGAACAGAGAGAACATGAGAGAAAAACGAGTCATAGCAAATGAAGAAACTAGTATCAAGAAGAAAGAAAAACGTTTACAAAGTACAACAGCTCGCAAAGCAAGGAAATCAAATGCAATGAAGGTTAGATATGCTAATGATATAGCTTACAAAACACAACAAAAACTGAGAGCAAAGATTGCACAAAACCAAAAGTATCACGAGAGACATTTCTTTGAAATAAACAAAGACACCAAT